GTGTTGGATTTAGGATGAAACCCTCCATGCATCCATTAACATCTGTGGGCTGTATCTCTACCGGAACTAACCAGTCACTTCCATGTAACCAGCCAAACCATATAACCAACCAACTAACTAATTCTCTCTCTAAAACAGTAGCTACTTGTGTTGATGTTTATTGTGAAACTAATCTGTGTTAAACTGTATAAAATGAAATAACCCAGTGGAACTCAAGGGGGAGACAGAGTAAATGTGCAGGATTAGTCAAATTTGCATGAATGTATAGCAATGTAAAGGTGAGTTTATTTGTGTAGCACGATTCATACACAATGTCCTTTACAGTATAAGAAATACATCAAAAACACATACCAAAGCAAAAAACAAACACAAATAATCATTATATAATTGTATTTAATACAAAAAAAAAAAAAAAAAAAAAAAAAAAAAAAACTTTGTCAAAGTAGAGGTCCTTTCTGACATCAAGACAAGACTGTTGCATATTTTAGCTTCATAAAACTGATGACTGTAATGTAACTGGAGGTTTTAAGGTTTTGTCAAGATGAGGAAGCAGCAGCTGAACAGCAGACTGGAGGAACTGTAATGTGCCTGTGCCCTGTTGAGGGGAGATTATTGGCAGCATACTGAGTTATGTCCAGCGCTGTCAGAGCACAGGAGCTGTGAGCCCACTGCTCCACTGGGACCAATAGAGTATGTTTCTTTGGCCAGATGGCTATCTGCATGGCTTTGTACATGTCAGCGTCTTAAACACGAATGTGTGCAGCAGATAAGGCTCACAGCACACAGAACAGAACAGGGCCAAGTCTAACAAAGGCCCTGTGAAAGCTGCTTTACATGGGACACATGTTACACTGATTTCACTTTACATGGAACATTAATGAGACCCTGGACATGCCCATGTTAGCCCTGAGTGAACCACATTCACTCATTTCACAGACACACTGTACAGGAAGGCCCACAGCAGTAATGTCCACAGAGAAAGGAACTGGACAAGGTCATCAAGAAATCCAGCTTTGTAGTGGGCTGTAATATGGACAGGAAAGTTCAGTTCTGTCCTCTGGTCTCAGTACAGGAAGTGGGGGACAGGAGAGTCCTGGTTAAACATGTGTCCAGTCCCTGTACACGTGTCCTGCACCTGTAGTAGTAGGCGCATATACTTGTGTGACTCACACTTAACCTGCTGTTCATCTGGTCCAGAAAACTACACACCAATCATTGCTTACATCTGTGTACTTTATTTTACTCTTCTTTTACTTAACCATTCCAACACTGGACTTTCCTTCTTGTGACAGATAGAGGTGGTCTTCCCTTACATACAGGCAGTGTTGGGAAGGTTACTTTTAAAATGTAATCCCCTACAGATTACAGATTACACACCCCAAAATGTAGTTTGTAACGTAATCCATTAAATTACTTAAAGTGAGTAACGTAATCTGATTACTTTGGATTACTTGATATTGTCATGTTTTTTTAAACAACATGAATGTAGCAACCACATCCAGAAAATTCTTGTTTGTTGTCTTCAAATTGTCTGAGCCCAAGTCTCTATGAATAAGAAACTGTTTACTGTAGAGAAACAAAGACCACGACATCTTAATATAAGAGGTTTTGTCTGTTAAAAGACAGAAACAAGATCAGACTTTCCTTCACCAGATTAAAAAATATTACTGATAGATAAATTATTTTTTATATGAGATCACCTTAAATTATGTCAACCTACTGTTAGGTGTCATGTTGTTTAGACCTGGTTTAGTCCTGATTTTTAGACCTGGTTTAGTCCTGGTTTAGTCCTGGTTTACTCCTGATTTTAGACCTGGTTTAGACCAGGTCTAGACCAGGTCTTTAGTTCTGGTTTAGTCGTGGTTTAGTCTTAGTTTAAACCTGGTTCAGTCCTGCTTTAGTCCTGGTTTAGTCCTGGATTAGTCCTGGTTTAGTCTTGGTGTTAGTTCTGGTTTAGAGACGCACAGGAGGAAGTGCGGTTTACGCGAGAAAACACGGTCCACACGCGGCGCACGAGACGGCGGTGTCCGTGCTGTAACTACGGAAGGAGACGTGGTCCGCGGGTTCTCAGGTTGATGACGATGATGAAGGTGTGTGGTTTGTGTTTGTGTGTGTTTGTGTGTGTGTGTCCCCTCATGTGGCAGGTCACTATAGGACAGTAGTGCAGATATTATGAGTCTATGCAGGTTGTTTTCACCAGTGCCAGTAGCTCCTGTTTCACATTTAAGTTGTAGGCGATTTTATATATATATATTTTTTATATTTATCTCACATCGGGAGAAGAATTTCCAAGACACAAATGCGTTTTTACCAATGCACTGCTGCTTCCACTGTGTGACTGACACCGCCAACTTTAACATGACGTTTCCATCGCTCTTATTGCGCGCGTTCTGTTTGGGTTTCTAACAATGAGTGAAATTACCGAAATAAAAAAAAATAAATAAATGGGATGTAGCACAAAATGTGAAAACAGGAAAATACCGCCTTGTAATCCACTTATTTCAGCAAGTAACTGTAATCCAATTACCACTCATTGAAACAGTAACTGTAACGGAATACAGTTACTCATAATTTGTACTCTGATTACATAACGGCGGTACATGTAATCCGTTACTCCCCAACACTGCACACAGGTCTGTACAGCCACTATTATTCTTCATACTTGATTACTGTTCTTTTTGCCTCGCATTATGACAGTAAGTTGTATTTCAGCTCTTGTGACAAAGTCATTTCAAATCAAATCAAATGTATGTGTGTAGCACATTTAAAACAGCCAAAGCTTACCAAAGTGCTGAACAATGAAATATTTTTTTAATGATAAATTGAAAAAAAAACAACAACAAAAAAAAAAACAAAAAAAAAACAAACGTAAATAACAATTCTATCTACATAAACACATTCGCATGCACAGTATTGTTAAGGTGTGTGATTACTGCCTGGTAAATATCCATTCATAAGTGTAATTATACATTATACAATGCATAATGGTATAGTATTTAATAGCTGATGAACAGTTGGATATAATTATTAGCCTTATTTCAAAGACTGCATTTTCATAGTAAAACAGAACACTGACATTTTCTCACTTTTTTATTGTTCATTCATTTTTACAGCTACGTGTTTATATCATCTAAGTGTTGTCTGTCTGAGCTCACTTAAGGACACGGATCTAAACTAGTCCCTTCACACGTGACCCGTCTGCGTTTCACGACCAGGATACAAATGAAAAATAAAATACTCATATCACATCTACTCTCATCCTGACGGAGCAGAGGCAGCGCACAGACTTCCTCGGGCAAACACAATCACCGCACATTCAGTCGGTGTGTGTTTGCTCCGCGTCATGAATGGGGTCTACTTCAAAGTCATCCGTCCGCTCAGGGTTCGCTCTGCACCCGTCTGCGCAGTGATGCCGAGCCGGGGGAGGGCGCTCGGACTGCTGACTGACGCCTCTCACCCCCCCTCTCCGTCTGCCTCTCATTATCCGTACCGTAGCTATTTTTTTCCCCTTAGCTTTCTGTATGCAATCTGCATCTCTGCCCTCCTTCGCTAACGGAGGTGGGCAGAGTTCCCAGCGCTGGTGCATCTAGCAGGTGCAGCCGCTCCCTCTCTCTCTCTCTCTTTTTCTCTTTCTCTCTCGGTTTCTCTCTTTCTCTCTACCCTCGCTTGTCCACCGCGCTCTGTCTGTGCACGCGGTTTTTTCTTTTTTCTTTTTCTATTTTCTCCATCCATTCGTCTCTCGGTAGCAGCGGCTTGAGGGAGGCAGCTGGATGGTGATGGTGCGCGCGCGGGGCCATCGGAAAGGATAGCCGCATCACGGGACGTCGCTCAGCCGATGCACGCACGCACGTCGGGCACTGGGGGTTCGTGCCAGTGTCGCTGCAAGTTTTCGTCCCGACGCGGGTCGCTAATCCATCTCCAAGAAGGGCATCCGTGAATAAAAAGGACGTACAGAGAGCTCCGGCGAGCAGAGCAGCAAGGCAAGTGGAGGGAGGATTGAGAAAGCGGCGCCTGGAAACATCTCAAACTATTGGGTAGCTTACAAACTGACCTCTGTCTTGTTTGCGCTTTGTGTCATTGGGTCCTCGGAAGGCAAATGAATAAGGGGATGTTTGCAGCCGATGGAGGCTCCGTGCAGGCTGGAAGTGCTTGATGCGGTATTAGCGGGCGGTGAGACAGCAGGGCGCTGAGCGGACAGCTCGGGGAAATCTGATCCAGGAGCAGCCGTCGCAGTCGCAGTAGATTTTTCCCCTCCACTGCGTGACAACACCCTTCAGGCTCTTGTTTCTGCCTGTCTACCTTTGTACTTGGACTTTTCACTCGACTCTGTGGAGGACGCGTAAAGTGCTTTTAAATGGGCTGTTGGAAGGCAATGACTATAGTGGATAATCCTCCCAGAGTGTTCGACAGACGCTGAAAACACTCCCTCTGACACGAGCAGGTTTTGGAGAGCAAGAAGACACTGACTTCGCTCTGATAAAAAAAAAAAAAAAAAAAGAAATCGTGTCTGCATTAGGCGTGGAACCAGGACCTAGCCTTCAACTAGAACTTTACAAAAACACTAAGAATCTCTGTGCCATTCAAGTTGTAAATGAAAAGAATATATATTGAGTAAAAAATACATTTATTTTGTGCATCTGTCCATGCACAAATGTAAAGGCTTTCTCCCAGTGCCTCTCCTCTCTCTCTCCTGGCCCTTTTCACCGATAGAGGTACTATTGCTCTTCTCCTTCCATTTTCCTGCTCCTGAACTCTACCGTTTGGATTCTTGTGTAACCCTCCACGCTCACTACTAACTTATATATTCTACAATATCTGTGTGCTTTGGTATAGCTGTGTTTTGATCGTCCTGTACCTGGTTTGTCAGTGTTTGCATGTTTCTCTTGGACTCCTCCTGACTTTGGATTTAATATGTATATTCAAGGATTATAACCCTACGAGGCTATTTATTGCTGTGTTTTGCCACTTACTACTGATGCCAGTCTCTGGATTAACCCACAATGAGCCATAGCGGACGACAGGGCAGGATGAGTGAGGCGGCGGGCTCAGGGGCAGTGATCCTGGAGGAGCCGGAGACCGCTGGAGCCACTTCCGGGCAGAGGAGTGAGAGCCAGAACCAGGCCCGGGTGCCGCTGCGATGCCCCTTCTGGCCACGGCAGCAGACGTGGCTCTGTGTAGTCCCTCTGCTCATCGGCTTCGTGGGCCTGGGGCTCAGTCTGATGCTGCTTAAGTGGATTGTTGTGGGAACTGTGCGGGATTATGTGCCAACAGACCTGGTGGACGCTAACCGGATAGGCCAGGATCCAATCTTTCTCTCCAAGCCCAGTGGAATTCCCAAAAGCGCTGATACTTCTACTACTACTACTACCACCACTATTACTTCTACCACAGCAGAGGGAGGCAATCCCACTGCCAAAACAGTGGGGAGAGGCAGGACTCGCTTTACTGCAACCACCACTGCTGTCAACCACAGGGGGGGAGGAGCGTATGGGAACCAAGTTACCCCAAGGAATCCTGGGAACCATAATGGACGCCATGGTTTTACTACGACCACCGCAGCGCCAAGAAGCACCTACACGATTGGAGCAGGTACGGCCAGCCCATCCCCACTCAACCCCACAGTGCTCCACGACCAAACAGCCATGTGGACCCCGGAACACACCACCACAGCGGCGGCTGCTACCACGACAACCACACGCAGCCATGGACACCATAAAACACGTAAGTCCACCATCTCCAAAGTAGTGCTGGGCTTGGATTTCTGTGCAGTATTTTATTTAGTTTGCAAGTTTTCCAAGCATAAAAATGTTGGCAAGTCTTGTTTTCTATTTAGCTTTATTTTGTACATTTGACACCATGTAGGCCAAGAATTGCAGTGCACTGATCAATAGCATCGACTGCTACAGTAAGGCCATCCGAACTGTTGTGATGTCAATAATGAATTATTCAGCGCTTTGATGGATTCACAGGGCTTTCTTGCTGCATCACAAGTTAAGTTTGGTTCTTGGTGACTTTCAGCTGAGTAGAAAATGGCTGCATGAAGTGTTTTGAGTTAGTATTTGAATGGATAAATGTAGTAAGTATAGATTGTGAATTAAAAAGAAACACAGTGGGGTAGGGCTCTGTTTAATGAGCTTGTGAGCCTTTGTAGTGGGATCACAACAAAGTAGAGGTACAAACAGGAGCTGCATAATTTATTGCAAAATTATTCATTGCTATATTGCTTCTTATTTTGGTCCTACCTTCCTTTCTGGTTGGGTGTCATCTGCTCTTCTTGATGATGTGTTCTTTCTTGGCCAGGGATGTTCAAGAATATGGCATTAAGTATGTAACCAGTTTCCAATTAATGGGTATTTTTATAGCTCAAAAGTACCACTGGCCTAAAACCTTTCAGTTTAGTCCCAGTAGTTTGTATTCGTGGAGATAGATACTGTGAACATTCCAGGCCAAATAATGACATCTTCATTGAGAAAAAGGGAATGTAACTTTACCAGAAAAGGTTACATAGAACACTTTTAACTTTATGATGATTATGATAAATTTGACTTGTGACTATTTCAGGAGAGATAAACAGATGTATACATAGCTCTCTTATAGTACTGTAGTATATGACTTGGGGGGACTTTGTTGAAAATTGAATTAGCAAAATTGGGGAAAATAATCAAAATTGGCCCCTAGGTATCAGTCCAAAAATATTGCTTTAGCTTAAAGGCCAATGGTAATGGTAATGGTCTGCATTGTAAACAATTACCATCGGCCAGGAAACAACCTGTATCAATCTCTTTTAGATCTGCATTTTGAATGAAACTGTGGTTTACATCATAATTATAAAATATATAAATGTAAACGTTTCTGCAATACAGTGATCAAAAGCAGGTACAGACCAAGGTTTAATGATTGGATAGATCCTGGTAATGTCCATAGAATGCTGCTGGAGCAGTTGTATTGATTTTCTTGTGAGGACACACTTAGTGCACTTCTAATGACACGTGTTTGTGTTGATGCTGTGTTTTTGGTGTTGACATTCTCTCATGTCTTATGTCATTCCAGCCACCCCCCGTGCAGACGTGTGCGTGTCACACCGACACATAATAATGTGTGGCTTTGCTGGATGACTAATGCAAATGGCTCTGCTGCTTTCGGGATTAGATATGTCATGAAAAAGTCTCAAATGAAAGGACAATTTTCTCAAACACTCAGTTATAATGATGATGGAGGAACAGTTGGCATACGAGCAGAGTACTAAGATTATAAATGTACAATAAACAGACTTGACAAAATTGAAAAGCCTTTTGCCAACAGTAGGAATTATGCAACACAGCAGTCTTAAGAGCTTGGCCTAGGATGATTTGAGATGGAGTTATAGAATCGCTGCTACATTTGTGTTTTTTGTCTTTTATCTTACACGCACAGTGGTTTACTGCTCCACAAATCACTACATTGGGAAGTGACGTCTGCTAACTGCAAGTTGTTACTGTGGTGATAGCTAGTGGTGATTGTTAGTGGCAAATGTGAGTCCAAAAATGCTTTGCAGATGGGCTACATCTACACAGCATGGTTGTTACTGACAATTTACTGTTTCTTTCCATAGTCATTTTTGGCCATTTTAATGCATATTAGGTAAATTTGCTGCTTTCTGGCCAAAAACTGGGACATTTCCAGATTGTTAGATTGTTAACCTTGCTTCTGTTTTGTCTGAATCCCATTGTAAATCATCAGTGTAAATTATTGTGTGTCTTGTACGGTTGTCAAAGTATTTGAAATTGGAAATTAAACAATACTAAAATTTATCCTGAAACTAATTCTAATTTGAGCAAACATGAATACTAAATAAAGTCACATTTGGAATGATCTTCAGCTGTATCAGAAACAATTAATAAGATCACATAGACCTACCTGGACAACTGAAGGATTACACAGACATAAGGCTACATGGTAATATAAAGGAAGTAGTACAATTTAATGTTGAAAATCATATTCTGTTGTCTAAAGAATTAACATTTTTATCATCATCGTCATCAAATTTGAAATATTAGTATTATGACACCACTGTTATCTTGAAATGTGTTCCATAAATTCAGTTCGTAGAATTGCTTAGTCCAATCTAATGGTTCATAGACGAGGCTCTTGTAGCTCACTGGCTCTGTGGCTGTGTCCTTGAGAGGTGCTATGCTATGCTCACATATATTGATTTGTGTAAGCGTCTCTCTGAAGCCCTTTGTCTCTGGCTGTCCTGCCGCCTCCGCTGCTTCCTTCATGTTAAAGCTTGTGATGTGAAAATGGTGTCTGCTTTCAGCACACTTCCCCTATGCTCTGATCGTTTGCGCTGGGTTGGAGTGGGCTAGAGTGAGCCTCATCAGTGAGACTGAGTTGTGTGCCTGATCACCCCGGCCTCAGGCTCTGCTCCTGTCAGTCCCTGTCAGAATCTTGGATGAGAGGCAGCCTGCACAGGTGACGTGGAACACAGCTGGCAGGTCACAGCTAATCTCCAAGTGTGGAATAATCTATCTCACATTTACGGTCCTAATCGCGTGATATCTGTACGCATAATTGCATGATTAAATGCTGTAATGAACTGTATGCTAATTGTTTTCACTGATATGGCCCTGCAGTGCATGGTATACTTCCACTCCTTTCTTTAGTCATGTAGCATCAAAGCATTTCAATGGTTCACTTATTTATATGTTTTATTAAATTAAAGTTTCATACGTGTTCAAGATTGTTGGTCCCCCTCTGGTAATGAAAGAACAATCAACAATTTTCACTGAAACATCTAGAGCAGTTTGCTCATGAGAAATGGGTCAAAATACCTGTTGACCAGTGCAGAAGTCTCATTGACAGTTACAGACATAGTTTGTTTGCAGAGTTTGCCTCTAAAGGTTGTGCAACAGAATATTAAGTTAAGGTACCATCATTTTTGTCCAGGCCAGTTTCACTATTTTGTTTTTTCTAATGATTCTGTTGAACCACAGGTGAAAAACAATGTTTGATTCATGTAGGACCATTTTCAGTAAATTTAGTTATTTCAGTGTTTATTGTTGATTTTTTTTTTTTTTTCTCTTTGCCAGTGGGGTTATTCTATAACTATTTTGAACACGTCTGTATTTAAGTATCAGACAAGTGACAGATACTAATTGATACTATGACAAAAATTGAGACTCAATGGTAATTTGAATAAGTATTAATACTAATAAAAGTCAAATTCACAGGACAGAAATCAAAACCACATAGATTAGTATACATGGACCACTATAGAGCCTCCCCTGGACCACCACAGCAAGTCCAGGGATTCAAGAGTATGTTTTTTTTTATCATCGTGATATCGAAATCCGTATTGAGTTTATTCTTTAGTATCGATGTCGAAATATTAGTTTTGTGACAACACTAATAACAAGCTAGTATACAGTGTTGAGGCAGAAGTTGTCTCCCCAGTAGTTGAATATACAACAGTTTATTTTATTTTAATTTATTTTTTCTTTCTTTTTGAAAAAGCAATTTCTTTGACAAAGCTGTCAAAAATCTATGAAAAAAATTTAACAGATCAGAACACAGATCTGAAAACCATTTGGGTAGAACAAAAGGTCACCAAAATGACATCTGCAATGACTCAATTTATGATTTCATCTACAAAGGTTTACTTCTCTGCTAAATTGTGTTTTGGAGCTTGTATTTTGTCGAATCTCCATCAAAAACATACTTTGAATTGTGATTTGTTTCATTCTCATGTTAAATATGAAGAACTGCCTAAAAAGTACCTTGCCCTCTGTATCAGCAGATCTGCAGCAGGTCTGTAACAGCACTAAGTACTCTAAACACTTGAACGAGATGACAAACAAGTAAAACATTGGGTTCCACTTTGTGACATCATTGGCTGGTAATCCAGGAGATGTTTCTGTGTCTTTCAATACACTTTCACCAAACTCATTTTGATCAGCATAAGCCATAAAAATAAAATACAAATAAATTACTAGCTAACTAGAGAATTCAAAATTAGCTTTACCAAATTTTAATTTGGGTACTCATGATATTCAGATTTCAATTTCAATTTTGATACTAAGGAACAGACTAATTCCGATAATGCAATGAATTGAAAACATTCTTTCTTTAGTCATTGTGATATTTCAACACTGAATCGTGGTACTTTCTTTTATATTCCCATGTGGCCTTATATCTGTGTAGACTGGTCTCTTATACTTGTTCTACAACTATAAGCACAAGTTCAGTTCTGGAGCTTTCTAAAGCTGTTCAGGAAAGGTTCATGTCTGTCTTGTGAACATTACTTTTTTCCATTATCAATCATCCTCAAATGAGTCTAGTTTTTTTTTTTTTTTCTAGTTTTAGTATTGTTTTGTATCAGATTTTTGATAGTTTGGATAACCCCATTTTTTATATACATTATTTTAAATTATGCAACAACAGCCCTAGGTGTTCCAAAGTGTTAAAAAAGAATGAATAATGCATATAAGACAAGAATTAGATTTAAACATTAACATCTCTAACTATGCAAAGGCTTCTTCTTTCTTGGACCATGATGCATCGTATTTGTTTTTTAAGATGTCTTCCCAACGGCTACACATTCATCATACCCAACCATTCTATTCTACCTGGCCGCATTAGCATATGTTTGCTAATCTCCCCGCATCCCCGGGAGACGCAGAATGCCCCTCTGATAATTGGAAACATAGAGTGAATTTGTAGCTTTTTTATCTGCCCCAAAAATA